CTTTGCAATAAAAGAACGCCCAACTAAGGGCAGAGCTGTTAGTGGCCCAAGAAGCCAAGGACCAGGCTGACTGGTGGTTGAACAACGTACAGATGGAGCACGTGAAGTTAGGTGAAGAGTTGAACAAAGTTTTGACTGAGAATAATGAACTATGGGAAAACCACCACACCATGGCATGGAAGTGTGTAGAGCTGGAATGGGAGAGGAGGATTGCTTCACGATCATGGAGGGTGTAATTGGAAGATCGTGCTCGCTATTTCTGTGAGGTGGCCACGGGCTACTTGGACTCCACCAAGGAGTATATCTCACGTTGGGCACGGCAGTTTCACCAAGGCCCAAACTTAAGCTCTATATGGAGGCATCACCCAAAGAGCCCTTATTAGGAGTTTGTGAGAATCACAAACTACCCTATGGATATGTCATGAGTAAGAGGATGAGGAGAAAATAGTTAGCATATGAACTGTGGGTGGCTAAGTTTTATTGCAATAAGTTGGCAGTCTAGAGCTGGTATATCTCAGTGTTTTCTTTTATTTAGATTAAACTTGTTAAGTATGAGCCGATTGACATGATTATGGAATGAAATAAACTTGTGTTGGTGTTTAAATCTTGTTGAATGGTTGTGGAATGCTAAGTTGTGTATAAGAATAGTTACTTATAATCTGTTATACGCATATATTTAAGAAAAAAGGAATGTCTCAACGATCGAGAAGGACTCTATCGGTCGCTCCCGATGCAGAGGAAACACCTCTGGTCGGGGCTAACCCTGTTGTACCAGGGGTGATACCAGCCTCTGCTACGGCCACGAGGACGGCGAGCACTAGAGGTAGAGGACGAGGAAGAGGATGAGGCAGAGGAAGATCACAAACAAGACAAAGCGAGCTAGAGCCCTCGGTACAAGAGAGCTTTAAATCGGGTAGAGGTAGAGGCCGAGGCAAATGCAGAGGTCACACACGGGCAGCGACCACCACCCTTGTGGACCTTATTACTCAAGAGGTATCTAGAGCTCTGCCTGCTGTTATAGCACAAGTAAGAAGGCACAACAGAGGAATAAAGAGGCTAGGGAAGCTAGTGTGGTAAGAGAAGTGGTTAGCAACATCAACCATAGAGATGACCATAGAGAAAGGTCAAGAGCTAATAGTCCTGTCAACACTAGCACGGGACAGAGGGGTTGTAGCTACAAAAGTTTCTTAGCTTGCAAACCCAACCATTTTAGGGTGAGCCAAACCCAGTTACGGCCCTGAGATGGATAAAAGGGACAGAGATGGTCTTCAAAGTTAGAAAATATGCAGAGGAAGACAAAGTGACTTATGTTGCTTCCATGATGAAGTCTGAAGCCCTATTCAGGTGGGAAATAATTACCAACCTAAGGGGCAAAGAGGCTGTAGCAAGGATGTCATGGGATGAGTTCAAGGTGCTGTTCAACGAGAAGTTATGCCCAAGAACTGCTGTAAAATAGTAAGAAGAATTCTTGAGGTTAGAACAAGGAAGCTTAACGGTCAGGGAGTATACGACCAGCTTCACAGAGAAGGCTAGATTCTCAGAGCATTATGTTTCTACTGAGGATAGACGGGTAGAGCGTTTCATGTGGGGATTGAAAGCATCCATCAGGGAGTTTGTCCTCACCATGAAACCAACTACTTTCCAAGAGGCTGTGAATGCAACTGAAGTTAGAGAAAAGAAAATGGTCCACCAAGAATCCGAGCGAGGTCACCTGAAGAAGAAATAGGAGGGTTCAAACAACGTAGGCTGTAGAAAAAAAACTGAGAACTCGGAAAGGAAGGTATGGCAAGGACAATCAGGCAAACCATGTCCTAAATGCAACCTTGTGCATATAGGAGAATGTCTGGTTAAGCCCAGGGTTTGCTACCGGTGTGGAAAGGCTGGACACTTGTCCCAAGACTGCAGAATGGAATGAAGAGAGAGATTATGCTACATTTGCAAGTCACCCAATCATGTGCAAGCAGACTACCCGCAAAGGAAGAAAGATGTTACAACCATTCAAGGAGGAAGCAGAGGTGGGAAATGAGAGGAACGACGACTAGAAGCACCAAGACCAAAAGAGATGGTGTTCCAAATGACTGCAGCCGAAGCTGAGGAAACCCCGGATATGGTAACAGGTACCTTCCTGGTTAATTATGTACATGCAAAAGTGTTGTTCGATTTTGGCGCGAATAAAACATTTGTATCCACTACTTTCTTTCACAACTTGAATAGAGTAGCTAAGCCTCTAAGTTCGGCATTAAAAGTAGAAACTGCTGATGACAACAGGGTAGTGATTAAGGAAGAATATGAGGACTGCATTATAACGGTAGATGGTAGCTCTATTCCACTCAAGCTGCTTCCTATGACACTAGGAGAGTATGATATAATAATCGGGATGGATTGGTTAGCTGAAATCCAAGCCAGAATTCTGTGTAATAAGAAGATAATCCAGATTGAGGTACCAGGTAGTGGGAGATTAATAACCTATGGAGATAGAAGGGATAGGAAGGCTAGCATGATCTCCCCACTCAAGGCCAGACGATGTATAAAGAAAGGATGCCAAAGCTATTTGGCATATGTGATCAACGCTAAGAAGGAAAAGAGTGCGATGGAAGATATTAAGGTGGTAAGAAACTTCCCAGAAGTCTTCCCGGATGACCTGACCAGTCTTCCGCCAAAAAGACAGGTGGAGTTTCAGGTTGATTTGGTACATGGAACTGCACCTATTGCCCACGCACCTTACCGACTTGCACCATCAGAGATGAAAGAACTGATGACTTAGTTGCAAGATCTATTGGACAAGGGTTTCATACGCCCTAGTACATCACCTTGGGGAGCTCCAGTGCTGTTTGTCAAAAGAAGGATGGTACAATGCAAATGTGCATTGACTACCGGGAGCTCAACAAGGTGACTATCAAGAATAGATATCCGCTTCTAAGAATTGATGACCTCTTTAATCAACTTCAGGGTGCAAGTTACTTCTCGAAGATTGATCTACGGTCGGGGTATCACCAACTGAGGGTAAGGGATGAAGATGTATCCAAGACTGCCTTTAGGATGAGGTATGGGCATTATGAATTCCTGGTGATGCTATTCAGAATGACTAATGCACCTGCACCGTTCATGGACTTGATGAATAGAGTCTGCAAACCATACTTGGATAAGTTTGTCATCGTTTTTATAGACAACATTCTTGTATATTCACGTACCAAGGAGGAGCATGAGGAACACTTACGGGCTGTTTTAGATCTACTAAAACAGGAAAAACTGTACTCGAAACTCTCCAAGTGTGAGTTCTGGCTATGAGAGGTGCAATTCCTCGGTCATGTGGTGAACCAAGAAGGAATAAAGGTCGACCCAGCCAAGATAGAGGCAATACAGAGGTGGGATTCACCCCGGACCCCTTCTAAAATTCGAAGCTTTTTGGGTCTAGCCGGTTATTATCGAAGGTTTATTCAAGACTTCTAAAAGATAACTACCTCTTTGACAGCTCTTACTAAGAAAGGAGCTAAGTTCGAATGGGGGACAGCTCAAGATGAGGCCTTCCAACTCTTGAAGGAAAAGTTGAGCTCTGCACCAGTCCTTAGTTTACCAGCAGGAACTGAAGGTTTTGTGGTCTACAACGATGCTTCTATGATGGGCCTAGATTGTGTGTTGATGCAGCAAGGGAAGGTCATCGCGTACGCCTCCCGGTAGTTGAAAGAGCATCAGAGGAGGTATCCAACTAATGACTTAGAATTGGCAGCGGTGGTATTTGCACTAAAAATTCGGAGGCACTATCTCTATGGTGTAAAGTGCCAGATCTTTACTGATCACAAGAGTCTCAAGTACTTGTTTGATCAGAAAGATCTCAATATGAGACAATTAAGATGGCTGGAGTTGTTGGAAGATTATGATTATGAGATCTTATACCACCCCAGAAAGGCCAACGTGGTGGCTAATGTTCTAAGCCGCAAAGAAAGGGGTACTCCACTACGTGTTAAGGCTCTAAGGAAGGAGGTCACCACTAGCTGGATTGAAGGCCTGAGGAAAATCCAAAAGGAGGCCTTGGTAGAAGAAAACATAAGGAAGGAAAGAATGGTAGGGGCTAGTCCATTGCTGGAAAACAATGGTAATGGACCAAAATGTTATAAGGGTAGAATTTGGGTTCCTCGCTTGGAAAATTTTCGTAGCCAAGTTTTGGACGAGGCCCATAAATCCCGTTACTCCATCCATCTTGCAAATAATAAGATGTACCGGGATTTACGAAAATTGTATTGGTGGCCGAGGTTGAAGAAGGATATAGCTCACTATGTTGAGAGATGCTTGACCTGTTTGCAAGTGAAGGATGAACACCAACGACTGTTTGGGAAACTTCAACCTTTGGAGATACCCATGTGGAAGTGGGACCACATCACTATGGATTTCGTGACTAAACTTCCCCGAACACCAAGAGGTTTTGATGTGATATGGGTAATAGTGGACAGACTCACCAAGTCTGCCCACTTTCTGCCTATTAGAGAGACCTACTCAATAGATAGATTAGCCAAGTTGTACATAGATGAGATTGTAACCCGACATGGGGTTCCATTATCAATAGTCTCCGACAGAGACAATTATGGCGAAGCTTCCAAAGAGAGTTGGGTTCTCAAATAAAGCTTAGTACAACATACCACCTGCAAACAGATGGTCAGAGTGAAAGGACCATCCAAATGCTGGAAGACATGTTGCGGGCGTGTGCTATTGACTTTGCGGGGTCATGGGAAAGTCATCTTCCCTTAATAGAATTCTCCTATAACAACAGCTATCATGCGAGTATCCAAGCCGCACCACATGAAGCTTTGTATGGGAGAAAGTGTCGAACGCCCCTGTACTGGAATGAAGTGGGCGAAAAGCAACTTTCGGGCCCAAAAATTATGCAGAAAACGGCTGACAAAATTCAGCAGATTCGGGAAAGGCTGAAAATAGCTCAAGATAGACAAAAGAGCTATGCCGACAAAAGGCGAAAACCAATAGAGTTTCAAGTTGAAGACTGAGTAATGTTGAAAGTCTCGCCTTGGAAGGGCATTACAAGATTTGGGAAACGAGGAAAGTTGAGCCCTCGTTATATTGGCCCTTATCGAATAACAGCACGTGTGGGTGAGGTTGCATATAAGCTGGAATTGCCTGAAGAGCTTCAAGGCATCCATAGCACATTTCATGTGTCAACTCTGAGAAAGTGTTTGGCGGACGAGAGCTCTAAGGTAGCTCTGGAAGATATAGAGGTGGATCAGACTCTAAGCTACGTAGAAAGGCCAAAAGCTATCTTGGATAGAAAGGTGAAGAAGTTGAGGAATAAAGAAATCTCTCTGGTCAAAGTCCAATGGAAACATCATAAGGGACCAGAGGCAATGTGGGAGATAAAGAGTGAGATGAGATTATAATAACCTCATTTATTTACGTAAAGCAAATTTCAAGGACATAATTTTGTTAAGGGGGGGAGTTTGTAATAACTTAAAATATTATTTGAGATTTTTGAGAATCTTACTTCATTTTTATGAGGTTGAACCGGTGTTAAGAAATTTTGTTTGTTTTGTTGTTACGGATCTGAACTAACCAGATGAGCTCTGGTCATGAAGAGCTCTTAGCATCCAGAGGATGAAGGCAACAGCCAGAGAAGGCTCTGGTCGTGAAGAAAGGTTAAGAGCGCTTTATCTAATTAAAAGAACTTGGGTCTTACAAGTAACCCAGAGGCTCTGCATGTGCTATGCAGAGGCTCTGTATATGTACTCTGTATACGAGTGCGCTGCATGAGAAGGAAGCTCTGTACCCGAGCTCTGCCTGTAAGAGCACGATGTGTTGAGAATGGAACTCGTTGCTATTAATTCTGGTCATTTTCTAGAATTAGTCGCTTTTACATTTTGGCCGTTAGAACTATTTATGGCCTAGAATCATAACCGCTATAAAGAAATAAATTGGGTTTTTAAAATGATATTAATTGTCTTGTAACCGACCAATTAAGTGGTAATTAATTCGTAAGGAGGTTACAAAGAGTATATATAGAGGTGATGAGCTAGAGATTGGTTCCTTACTAGCAAATAGAGGTATTCAAGAGCTAGAAGGCGAAAGCAGATAATCGATACTCAAGAGTTGTGTGTGTGACGTTCATCAGACGAACATTCGAAGCTATCAATCACTTTGAGTATACATGATATTTTTTTAAGGGTTGCATATTTGTTTCTATTAAATTGCAAGCTTGCTGTATTTTACGAATATGTTTGCTGTGTGAACGTGTTTTATGTGATAAAATGTCGTGTGGGAAATTGGGGTGGGGGGGGGGGGGGAAACTGTACTAAGGATTTAATCCTGAGAACAAGCACGTTGTGTGAAGCTTGTTAAGCCGTAAGAGCGAACATGCTGTGTGAAATTCGCCAGGCAATGCTGTGTGATATAGTCCTTTCCCCTTATGTTTCAGTAGTTTATGAACCGTGTGTAAACCGTTTATTCACTGGGCTTTAGGCTCACCAAACTTGTGTTTTTTTTTTCTTTTCAAAATAAAAAAATGCAACCAGGTCACTACACTTATGGGAATAGTAGCAAGGGCAAAGGGAGGGCGTAGCGCCAGGCTACGCGTGAAGAGGATAGACTTGAAATGAAGTCTAGTCGTGACTTGTCTTGACGAAGAGTAGTCAGTTTTGGGTTTAAGCAATTGCTGTATGATCAGAAGAAATTTTTAGACTTCCGCTGTGATTTATGTTTAAACTGTTTCAATTCAGTATTTTATGTAAGTTTCCAATTTTTAAGGTTGAAATTTATTGATGATTTGAGGTTAAGATAAAGATCGGATTATGGGTCTTTACAGATATCTTTGGTGTGCAATATAATTCTTGTGTGGTGGACGATATATCAAAAGTTTGAAGTTTTGTTCAAGTTTCACGAATTTTTATCTGTGTTTTCCAATCCAGTTCAAGGTCATTTTCTGTACGATCATTTCAAGTCATTTTCTGATAAGATGTCTAAAGATATGTTAAACATCAGGTCAGATTCCAAGCCACCAGTTCTAGCTTTCAGTGAATATTAGCAATGGAAAGTCAGAATGATTCACTTTCTCGATAACAAAGATGAAAGGTTAATGCATTCTATTAGAGATACACCGTATTGAATGTTTTGTGGATCTACCTAATTTTACAACACCTGAAGGTATTATTAAGACACTCGCTTTGATTATTTATTTCACTTCCTGATCTTGAACTCCGACTGTCACCATAAACAATTTTAACCTTCTCAATGTTGTCGTGGTTTTTCTAATGTCTTTATCCATAATTGCTTGAACAATAACAAACACTTTACTAGCGAATCTTCTCCATCAATCACAAATTTATAAATATTAAAAATGGAAGATCGATATTAAAAAAAATGTAAAAATCACAAGATCAATATTAGAAATGCAAAAATCATGAGATTTTTAGATCTTGTAACTCTCAATTAATGATATAGGAGTTACAAAAAAAATTACCCATATACCCTTAACATTAAATTCTTTGATAATGAAAAACCTAATACTATGATGGATTGTGATTGGTTAAAAAAGTTCACAAAATTAACACAATAATTTGGGTAACATTTGAACTAAGCTCTCTCTCTCTCTCTCTCTCTCTATATATATATATATATATATATATATAGTCGGGCTCCGGTGAGAATAGAAGTTATGGTAAGAAGCATAAGAAGAGATATCCACTATTAGATCATTTTTAATTGAATGTCAACACTAATGAAGTGCAACGAGATACACCAGATCAAGTCCCTTCTAAAATGCAATTCATATGTGGTCATAAGATTAAAAGTGATCAAATGTTCAAATATCTTCTTACGTTTCTTATCATAACTTTTATTTTTACACGATCATTCGCCTATATATATATATATATATAATCATATTGAAATTCTTTTATTTAACATATTATGTTGTTTAATTTTCTATACTATTTTGTTTGTATTAATTAACATATTATATAAATGTTGTAATCGACTAATTTTTCAAGATATCATTTTTGGTCATTTTACATTTTTCAATGAGTTTATCAGCTAGTTTTGTCAAACGTGATTAATTCATCGGTCAGGATTATCAGCTATCTACTAGTTTAATAGCTATTAGCTAATTTATCAACCATCGATTAGTTTATCAATTAGTGTATAAAACATGACTTAATTTTACCTTGACTAATTTGTTCATATATAACTATTTCTAACTACCAATAATTAACGATTAAAAACTTCCCAACTCGCACTACTTTACCATCCTGATGATCTTACCATTAATCTTGATGTCTAATTTTATTAATTTAGTTCTTGGTCGTTACAATGAGTTTTATCTTATCGTAACCTATTTTACTGTTTCCAACTCATAAAACACAAACAAATTTTCCCCGGATATAGAAAGTCTCAAGTTTTCATGTTCTCAGTTTATCCATCAATTAAAGCGATCCATTTCATCCATTTATTGAGTAAAGAGAAGAAACAAGATAAATTAAATAACTTTATATTAAAAAAATAATGACGACGCAAAATGGAAATGAAGAAAAATTAAGGGAACTTAACAGGAAAACTTGGGATGGCTGATTGGTGTCAAGCTTGATAGTTAAATCTTAAGATTCCATATAAGTTAACAAACAAACTGATGTTCCCAAAATCATACAAATCAGATTAAATCTTCAAGAACAATTAAGATGAGTAGAGAGATTTTCACCAAAGTGAATATTGTATTTCTTGAGAGAAAAGTACAAATGATTAACAGAAACTAATCTGAATTATGAACTGAACTCATTACAATTAGTAAACTAAAGACTATTTATACTAAGAAAATAGTAAAAGCTAATTATTACAAAACAATTACAATGAGAGAACTTGAATACAACAATAAAGCATATTCTTGAACCCAACACAAACAGTTACATCCCAAGCTACCATATTCAAGTGGTGCATATTGCATTAGCTAATTAAAGCTTAATGCGCCTGGATTATATCCATTTCAACCTTAACTAATATATAGTCAATGGTGGAGATTATTACACTTTGATTCTTCCCCAATTAATTGCTTAATGACTACTTAATTCTCAATTATGTTGACACTTTAACCATTCTTAACTAAGGACAGTCTATGCACCTTATTTACCATTCTGCCATTTTTTTTTATTTTGATAACCATAGGTGTTGAGACTAATTTGTACGGACCAAGACTGATCATGTGGGGCACTGAAGGAACTCAAACGGATGACCATGACCGAGAAGCAAACACTACAACAAAATCAGTTTTATAGGAAGTACTTAAATGTATCTAAATTTAAATATAGACAAGTTTATATGAATTAAGTTTTTGTAATCGAAGAATTTTGTGTCTTACATAAACCTGTTACCATAAGTTGATAGGACATTTTTTATCACTCTAGTAAGTTTGCTAAGACAATTTGGAAATTATAAAACGTCTTGTTAGACTTTTTTTATTACATTATTTGATAAAATATCTTACAAAATAATAGTCCTAATAAAAAGATATGTTTGTAGGGAACTATTAAAAAGTATATATTTAAAAAGCTAATCGAAAAATCTATTTCAAGATTGTTGGATAACTTGTTAAGATGCGAAGTTCATCAAACATCTTATTGTAATACCTATATGTATATACCTATATATACACTCACACATAATATACATATACATTATGTATATTTAAAGACACACAAACACACACACACACACATATATATATATATATATATATATATATGGGTGTGTGCGCGGGTGACACATGTACATAAGAAAATTCCGTTAGGAACCCAAAATTAATTAGGAACTTGGGAACCATCTACATAGTGTCACTAAATCTTTTTCAGGATGAATATTCATAATGAATAACACATTTATTATTAATATGAAAGTGTTATTCATCATGAACCCACCTTCATGATGAATATATTATAATATTTTTGATGAATAGTTGGTCCATATTTCTAAGGATGTGTCACATGCCGTTATGTGGACGTTTCGCGGGTTCCTAATCAATTTTAGGTTTCTGACATTACCTGCCCCTATGTTATAGACCATATTATATTAAATATCAATCGTCCATCTACTCTAATAAATATCTAGTTTCATAAATATCTCATTGTTTATACTATAAAACATTGATCATAGTTAATAAATTCTAATCATCTTTCATAAATATGCAAATCAAAATAAATGAACTCTCACCATTTCTATAAACATCCAATTTGGTTGGTTTCTATGGTTTGTATTTGAAACTCCATATACATAGATAGAGAAAGAGAGGGATAGTGAGAGAGAGGAATGTTCAAACGAGAATAAAAACTAAATAAAAGAACATGAAAACGGCTAAATTACATACAAAATCACATATAATTTTACATTAACGGTCAATGCAAGC